GTCAAGTTCAAGTTGCTGATGTTAGAGAACACTAGTGCAAAATTACATAATTAATGTCAAGTTCAAGTTGCTGATGTTAAAGAACACACTAGTGCAAAATTACATAATTAATGTCAAGTTCAAGTTGCTGATGTTAAAGAACACACTAGTGCAAACTTACATAATTAATGTCAAGTTCAAGTTGCCGATGTTAGAGAACATACTAGTGCAAACTTACATAATTAATGTCAAGTTCAAGTTGCTGATGTTAGAGAACACACTACTGTGAACTTACATAATTAATGTCAATAACAAGTTGCTGATGTTAGAGAACACACACTATTATTGTGCACTTAAGCAATTAACATAAAAAGGCCAAGATACTGATACTAGATAACATACTAGCATACATTTACATTACCAACATGAAAGCTAAGTTGTTGATTTTATAGATGTATTTTTAACTAGTATTTTATAACCCACTGTCCATGTAAGACAATGGAATAAGAAAAATCTAACAATGAATTATGTTTTCAGTATAAATGAAAAGTTACATTGTAAAAAAAATATACACACATCTGTTATTTGAGTATGTTCGACCTAATAAACATATCTTATAGCAAAAGGTTCTCTAGCGAGGTCTGACAGAGATTTTGAAGTATAGATTTATTAAAAAGGTACATCAAATTCTGTCCTTTTGAGAAACATCAAGTAACTTGTAAAATTTCTTATTCAGTTCAAAAATTATTATTTATAGGAACTTTCTATACAGTTATAGCAAATAAATGATTAAGTCTTTATTATATACAGACTTGTTCAGTATTAAATCATTTTACTTTATTACACAGTAAACTACATTATGTGTATTTAAAACAGTTAATTTTTAAACTCACAACAACCCCAAAAAATGTAATCTTATAATTCTCACACACCTTACTTTTTCATTTGTGTTCATTATCGTAATCAGAATGTTCTAAAAACTGCAGGACCCATATTCAAATACAAGTATAAAAATATTCAATAAATCAGAAAACTATACAATTTTTCTATTACTGACTTAAAAATAGCTACACAGACAAAAATAATATTCTAAATAATCTATATTCAAGTTAATAAATGCATCAACCTCCATCATTTCTGTTTAAGGGAAACTTCTTTATCTTAATGATACCAGCTTCCTTGTTTTAAATAAGTATGTAGCTTACTTTGTTTTCAAGCAATGCTCAAGCTTTATTTTGAAAAATAATTAGTATCACCTGAGTTTCATTAAATGGCCTACCTTATTTGGATTTATGGTACTGACCTACTTTAGTTTATGGTAATAACTAGGATTATTTTTTTCCCTAGGGTAATGAAGTGGCTAGCTTTAATAATGCACTGTTTCTACTGGATGGTTTGGACGGAAACACAAAAACGAATCATAATAACTAGCACCATGACAATTTAATAGTAAGCAGAAAATAAGGGATAATAACCAAAAAATAATCAGAAAAGTTTTTCTTTGAAAAAACACTCAATAAAACCCTTTTGAATACAATAACAAATATAACCTCATCAAAAACACCCTGCAATATAATGCCATTAAGCTTAAAGAACAACAAATTCTGTAACATTTACAGCACCATATATCAAACATAAAAAAAAAAAGATTTACATAAAAAAATATAAACACAAACGGCAATTAAACATTTGGTTTCAGCTAAAGAAAATATTCATGCCTGTTAAATCTATTTTGACACATTATTCTTTTACACAGAAATAAAATTCTGAGTTAAATATTTTAGTCAAATAAAAAACAAAATAAATCTGCCATAAATGCTTAACTGAATAATATTCACAAAAGTATGAATACTAAAGCTATTGAGCATAATGATTTTAAAAAGCATAATATATATATATATATATTTAAAAGAACTAGTCAAAATGGAGGGAAAAAAAGGGAATAATTACATCTAAAATTAATATATATATATGGTATAACACAGAGAATTAAAAACTCACAAATACTGATTTAATACAATTGATACAAGTCAGTCATTTCTAAACCTCTTATGCACATGTAAATATTATATATATATATATGTATATCAACCTTTTTTTTTGGTCCCAGAAATGGACAGTAACCACCACCAACAGTAGCAGTAGCAAACTGCATAACAAAGAAGCCTCCTTCTGCAACAAGCTCATTTAATGGATTGGCCATCAACAGTAACAAACTGTATTATAAGCTAATCACTCATAGCAGCAAACTGTAATTAAAAGTAAACAGCAACAAACTGCATTTTAAAGTGTTTATCAACAAAAAACATGGTGTGTTACCATGACTAGACTAATTACTGATTCAAACTGGCAGTCCAACACTGAGTCCATTAACTTTCTTTTTCAGTACACTTACTAAATTTTCTAACCTGAAAAACATAAGATCAGTCAGTCATTTTAGTAATTCACAAGAATTACATAATGAGTAGGCAAACAAACTTTAAAAACAATTTATCTCTGTTCAATTATTTTTATAAAATATTGTACAATAACTTTTTCCTGTTTATATGCAATAAATTGAATTATTGTTTATGACTAACAGAAGAGTCCACAGAAAAATCAAATAAGGGTGTGTCTACAAATGGATAGCAGAGACAAACCAAATATTAGGCATATGACTAAGAAAGTACCTCATAGTGAAAACTGGTAAATTTAAAACATAAAATAATAGCTAGCATTGTTAAAAATTAAAAGATATAATTCAGTCTCTGAAAATAGTAGTTACAACAAGCTTCATAAATCTTAAAATTACCTTTGGCAATTCTCTTCAGCATTTTGTCTTGCACTACTTTCATAGTTCAAAGCCTCTCGTAACTTTTCAACTTCTGGTTCCAGATCAGACTGTTTGAAGGTAGCCTCAACATCTTGTTTATCATCTGCATGAGTTGAAAGATACCTAAAAGAGTTTACAGGTTTATATAATTCATTTGTCAAAATGAGACTGGAGTATTTTAAAGATATTTGATTTCATTAAATGACCATTCATTCTTGGAAAAAAAAAAAAAGGCATTATTTGCTTAATTTTTACAACTTCTCCAGAAGCAGCCTTCTACTTATTGTTATGATTTACAATTAATGTAGAAGGTTGCTCCTGAGGAGGCTGTGAAAACTGAAATATTCTTTTTCAGAGTTAGTAGTTGTTTAATCAAATCAATCAACTTTTTTACAACAAAAAAATTGAGAGAATTGAAAATGTTTTTCATAGAGTTAGTAGCTGTTTAATCACACTAACTTCTTATAACAACATTTAAAACTACAAAAATAATGATTATAATAAAACAAAACGTAGCTGGTTGAAATTGCAATAAAATTCATATTCTTATGTGCTGGTTTCATTAAGTTGGAAAATCATGAATGCTTTTAAGTTCTAATTTTAAATCCAGATGTACCAAAATATTTCACAATTATGCTGTTTTATGAAAAAAAATAAAGTTACCAATTCTGGCATTTAAGTTTATTTTAAACTAAAGATACATTAGTACATTTTCATTAGGAATTTAAATGTTTTCCTTGATAAACTAAATATTTTCACTGTAATACAATTAAATTATGCATAACACGTGTTTCAGCATTGAAAAAGTAAGCTGTTTGAAATCAGGATCAGGATCACAATTTTGCTCTTTCCTTAAAACATATAAGAAAATAGTTAACTTTTCAAGACTTACAGTTGGTCCCTACAAAGAGTTTCTAATTCCTCATACTTGGTCACAGGTGAATCATACTCTTCTGTTGCCTGTTGCATTGTTTCCTACATGATAGCAAGCAAACATGGCTTATATCAGCTAGACCAAGTTGAAGCAATAACAAAAATATACACCAGTTTTTGTTCTGGTGTTTATCCTTAATAAAAGACAACTTTCATCATAATTCAACTTTACTTATACACAGTGCATTAACTATTGTTACACAAATCAAAATTATTCAAATATAACACTACTAACCTAATTGCCACGTTACCTTTAGTTTAGATTCCCATTCTTCAGAGTCTTCTTTCCAAGAACTACTGTTTCTTCTCCAAAGGAGTATTTCTTGTTCTAGCAGTTTTGTCTTACAAACAAAATTAACAAAACACTTATTCATAAGTTAAACACAAAGGCCCCATCACCTCAGATAATCTTGAGATTCATGAACAACATATTTTAAACGACAAATAATATATTTTTCATAATGTTAACAACAATTCATTAAACTTTTACATTCTTGCAATATGTTATTTTCTAATCTATCAACTTGAAGATACAAATGTTAGATTAGCTTTTCTTTTTGATTACATATTTGTAATATCATCAAGAATTAAATACTAATTACATTTTCCAGTTGAAACAACATTTATAGCTAAAGACAAACAAACCTGTGTAGCCAAGCTTTTCACAAAATATTGAGGTAACTACAACCACAAATCTGTGGTTTGATATACTTGTATTTTTGGTTGAAATGATAGTTTAAAAGATATAATTTGATTGAGAAAAAAAAAAGAGCTTTTAATTTTTAACCTATTAAAATAATTTATTCTTATGTAAAAAGAAACACAATGGGCTATATACACTGAACCAATCATGAGTACTAAACTCTTATAATTTAGAGGTATAAGCCCTCAATTTACTGCCAAGCAATTGGGGGAAGGGCTACTAAAACAGAAGATCTAATTACTATATGTATAATGAAATATGTATGAAAAAATTAAGACTAAGTTGAAGCCAAAATAAAAACACGCAGGCTGGTTTCTACAAGCAACTTCTATTATTCATCTGGGCTTAATGTACAGAAGTCAATTGGAACAACAAGAAATAACTGTTCAGATAAAACAAGAAGTTCTAACTAGTGTCATGAAACCAATTTAAAACTGTTATAAACCAAAAGAGGTGATTTTTTCATTCACTTCATAAGATTCTAACCAGTTTATAAGTAAATAAATGCATTCATAAACTAAAAAAACATTTATAATAACTATGGAAGCACTGACAAACCTATATGCACACTTATAAACAGATAGATTTAACTTTCCTGATATAAATATGTAATTCTAATCAGCCTTAATGGCCTTATACACAAGTACAGGTAATGTTTCCAATAAAACAGGTGCTACTTGTGACACACATATATACAATTAGAAGTAATTTTCTTGATAGTGAACAGTTTCTAAATACTTTATGTAACTATGCAATTTATGTATCTTGAAACACTATAAGTATGTTTGCAAGCAAAAAAAACCCATCAAATTCCCATTTATAAATAGAAGGACAGAGTAAATGGTACTTTGAACCTCAATGACACTTTATACATCACATGGGCTAAATGCTCAGGTTGAATACCCCAAAGTTCAGGCTATAGGAAAAGTAAACTTTTTTGAAATGGCTTACTTTTTCTATGGCAGCATTCTTTTCCTGTAGTAACATATTAAGCTCTTTTGTCATTTGATGTTGTCTACTGCTTTTTGCCTTGTGAAGATTTGCTAGCAATGCCTCTTGGTGGTGAAGAAGACGAGCTGGGCTGCGTGTTGTTTCTAAACTGTCTAACACTTTGTTTAGATCCTGTGAAAGAATTAAAAATCATTAACTTATTGACTAACTGGAAGATACATTTTGAGAGTAAATTATTTATATGAGTGTTTTTCTCTTACTTGATAGTTATAAGTAAATGTATTATTTTGTAAAAAATATTTAAATAGTTGCACCTCAGTTGTATACAATAGTTATTAAAAAATCAACACTTCATTTCATAGCAAGTGATAAATTATTAATATTAATTGTTTTTACCAAAGCAAGCTACATTCATAAACTAGAACTAAAAATTGACCCACTACTAACCCCATGTGAATGGCATTGGTGCAAAGTATCAATCAAGATTGTATGTTTACTATAATTCCAAATTTACACTGAACATCCTAACAAAATTTAGCAGGTTTTTAGTAAGCATCAGAAGCATATTGTACCCCCAAAAAAGTCAGAATTTCTATTGAAGTATTTTTACTATAGATTTGTCTTAAAATTTAATGAGTCAGTTTGACTCAGACTAGTCTGGGTTCAAGGTGATTTTCATGTTAACAATATTTTTTTTTAATCTTCCAGTTTTCACCTCTCATTTTCATAACCTCTAGAACCTCCTCAACGAATATCAAATATTTTTTTCATAAAACTATATTTTATCACTAATTTTCTTTATCCTAACACTAAATGTAACGAAATCACCTGTAGGAAAAGTTGAAAAACATAAAATAAAAATACTGCAAGTTATGATAAGCAAAGTATTGAGTTATATGTCGATTCATCACACACACTGCTCATCCCAGTTCAAGGTGAAATTTTATTTAACTTTTTTTCTCATTTAAGTTTTCTTATCTAACCTAATACATTTCTAATTTTTACACTTTGGTAAGTTAAATAACATTATAAGCTGCATCTCTTGTTTTAATCTTTATATTTCTTGTGTTCCTCAGAGTAGGTGTGTACTTAACCTTATAAAACAAGGACAGCATTGTGTATGGTAAAGAGAAAGATTACTTACTTATTCTAAGCTTCATTGACATGACTAGAAAATAAAATCCTCAATCACATGAAAAATTTTATTACTAAAAGTTATACTTTCCAAAAGCTAAGTAAAACACAACTTCAAGCTGAACTTCATTTACAAAATATAACTTACCACATCTACAGATTCATCATCATCATCATCATTGCTGTCTGTGTCTGGAAGATGTCTACTATTTTGTAAACAAGATAAAACAAAGTTCAACCAGTTGTCACGCAATAACAGTTATATTCAAAATTATGCAGTTTGGAGTTTCGTCAGTTGTTAACAACAAGTTTATATTTAACTGTAAATGGTAAAGATTTCAAATAGTTATTCACAAGTATTATTACTTTGAACAGTAGACAAAAAAAATATACACTGATATAACAAAACAATTGTTACACTCAAAGTTCACAGTAACTTAAAACAGTTACTTCAATTTTATCTTTGGTAAAAAATAAATGAAATCTTTAACATACACACAAATATATATATATATCTTAACTGTTTCTATGTTCAACAGTACACATTACCAGCTTCATACTGTTGGTATATAACTATTCTTGCATTTGACAGTACCTGCTAAAAAAGTTTGGCATTCATATAACAGTAGAGTAAATAATTCAAGCAACTATTGAACAATTACTGTTACACTGAACGGAATGGTTAATAAACTACATAAATTTGCTAATGATATTAAGGTTTTAGGTTTGTCAGATGTGAGAAGGACCCTGTTGATTTAAAAAAAAAATTTGGATTATTTGATAAGTTGAACAAATATAAATAATGGCAGATGGATTTTCATTATAATAAATGCAGTGATGGAAATGGTTTTTTAAGAAGAGAGTATATGCTTGGGAAAAACAAGCACGCACACACACATCTATTTATATATCTTTGACTTGTTCTATTCAAAATGAAGAGGTATAGCATATATATCTGTTAGATTAAACATTCTAATAGATTAGACATGAACATACATTAAAAAAATTAAATTGTTTTACAAATTTATTGAGAATAATAATAACATACAGTCAACAATTTTAGATATATATATATAAACTGTATATATGTATTAGATTCATGTTTACATTAAAGAATATTCCATAAACATCTATAATCTGAATTTTCTTCTGTTGCCTCCTTTTTTTCTGCATGCCATTTCTTCAGCATGCCTTCTGCCACTAACGAGCCATGTCTTCACATATTCTTTGGGGTTGAATTTTGACAGAGGAGGTTCCACTAATTTGATAAAGAGAAGAGTTGAAAGATGATCAATTTGAAGTCATGCATGTTGTGGCAACATACATAAATTCATTCCACTGAAGCTTCTTTCACATTCTGCTGTTGACACAGGAATTGTACCTACTGCTGTCAGCAGCTGCTGAAGATATGCAAACACTATCTTTCCTTTCCTTAAGTTCTCTGTAGCCTCTAATTCATAGCCTACCATTTAAGCCAAAATATTCTGCCATTTCTTCGATATTATCATCTCCAAATGTAATATCTGATTCTTCTGGAATATTGTTAATATCTAAAAATGACTGGTTAATCAATTTTTTACACTTGTCATTAGAAAGTATCGTACATTCAAGCAGCCTAGACTTCATATTATTGATCAAACTCCTCAAAAACTGTTACCTGCAGATCGTAGGTACTTTACCAACACTCAAATTTATCCCATTAAATATCATTCTGCACTTCAGTATAAAATTTACCTGGCTTCTCTATATGGCATTCAAGAACCTTGATAGCGTGGTTGATTTCTTCATGTACTTTACAAAGTGTACAATTTTGGCTCTGCAGGTCAAGTGACAGCTCAGACAACTCTAGTAGAGTGTCCATCAACAAGCCCAAATTATTTACAAATGCTGACGATTCAAAAACTTTTTTCAGCCCCTCATACTTTGCCCTCTCTGCACTAGATCTGGAAGCATCACAGCTTGCACTTTCAAAAATTCTCCCAAATGGCTTTATAAGATTGCCATATTGCCTTTACAGTTCGGTAAGACGATGCAACCCATCTCACACTGAAAACACGACCAATTTTCAACAGTTGACAGTGAAGAGCCTCAGCACATGCAATTAACTCATCTTGATTTTTAGGATACCTGTGATATAGGAAATACAATTTATCACAACTTCATCTACTACACTAAGTTCACGCCATACAGTTGCATTTGGAAAGTCATCAAGAAATAGTTTTGCAACTCCTGATTTTCGTCCTAATATTACTGATGCTCTATCAGTTACAAGTGATATCACATTTTCTTTTAGGTACTGCATTGAAAAACCACCTCCTTGTAAGCAACTTAAAAGACCTTTGTATATACAATTTGCATTTGCACCAAGTTTCATATGTTCTAACTCTAAGTCAAAGTAGAATGACATGGGATGAGAAAATTCACCAACTGCAACTCTCAAGCAGACAACTAAAACAGTTTTGCCATTAATGGTAGTAGGTTCATCAATTATAATAGACATTTTGGATTGTTTTGAAATTATATTTTTCCCCAATGTCTTTTGCATTTGATTCCCAATGTGATGTGCAATATATGCACACGACTTATGAGAGTGTAGAATGTACCCTAAGTCAATGACGTTTCTTTCTTGCAATTCAACATAATAAGACATATCAGTATATGGTCTACCTTTGTGCACAATATTATACACAGTTCTAAAAACTCGACCTGTTTTTGTTTCATCCTCTATCAGTGACTCGTATACTGCATTTTCGATTTCTTTTATCAGCTGTTTCATTTATTTTTTGGTATCTGTTATGGGCTTCACTGTTTTTATGCTTATAAATCTTATGTCTTAAACTCATTAACTGCTTTGCTTTCTCACCACTAATTCCTACATTAACACTGCACCATTCCTGTGAAAAATTAATTTCTTGCATTCTCTCATGATCTAGATGATTGCATTTGCTGCATGAACTACATCATATACTTTTTTTTTTAACAATTAGCCAGGGATATTCTTTCTTTTTGTTTAAGTACATTTCTTGCATCCAACAGTCCTGATGATCAGATATTTTAATATCTTCTGAAGTGTTATCACATCCAGGTGCCTCATCAGGTGAAGCAGTTGTATAACAAGTATTATAATCTGCAAGTATTTTGGTCCTCTTTACTGTCGGGGTGTTTTCTTTGTCTTCCCCATCAAGCTCAAGACGCTCTTTTAACATACTATAGTATGCTCATTGTCACAAGGGGACATCAAACTGAAAATTATAGACATTTAAAATTAAAATGTATAATATATAGTAACGTACTAGTAACAAGACTCAAAAGCATTGGGAGAAATCTGTTGGCGACAATAAAATTGGTGATTGTAGGCAAGTGTTACTTCACATTAAACAACACAAGTGTTAACTACCTATAATCACAACTGACAAGTATTTATAAAAGATTGCAAATGATGATGGAGTATTGCTGGTCACGATGGAAATTATTTCATTGTGAGGGAGAAGCAGGCATGATGCAAACCGTGTGATAGTAATCACTATCATGATATGGGTAAAAATACAATATAATACTCTCAGCTTAGGGTTGATAACTTGAGGTTGATGAATGTAGGCAGTAGAATACTTGTGTCTCTGCCACCACTGTATCCACTAACCTCACTAATGCACAAGTCATGCCATCATGCTTGCCTGCTAAAAGTGAAAAGTTCTGATTGACTGTGTGACCTGACGATCCCTGGTTGGGAGACTGGGTGCATCGTGATTGGCTAAGGCAATGCTGGGAAGATGCTTGACTCATGAGCTGGATAAAGGGCATCTAATGAACGACTCAATTAGTACAAAAATTTAACACAATAAATTGGAAATTGAGAAGTAGGTACATGCTGTGTACCCCATTTCCATCACTGAATAAATGTAAGGTAATGCATGTGGGACATGATAATTTGAATTAGAAGCAGAATTTTGATTGGAATATCCTTAACAGTGTTATGGAAGAACAAGCATCCAAGCAGTACTTTGTTGCTAGTGGTAAGGCAAATACAATTTTATGTTGTATCTATAGAAATAGAAGTCTAAAGAGGTTATAACTTTATTGCATAGGTCACTGGTTAGGCCACATTTGGAGTATTGTGTTCAGTCTTCAACTCCTTACCTTATGAGTTACTGTAAAGGGTTCAGTGGAGGGCAACTAGGATGGTACCTGGGATGGAAAGGTTGTCATATGAGGACACTTTAAGATGTTTAAAACTTTTTTTTGGAACAAGAAGAGGGTGATGTTTCAAATTGTTATGGGAATTGATGGTGTTGATGCATAATCTGTTTTTGTTCCTTATGATGAGAATGGCAAGATTAAGAGAGACAAATATAAATTTTCTAACAGGGTGGTTAGCTTTTGTAATGGGTTGCTTTCAGATGTGGTAAATGTAGTACATATAAGGGAAGGCTTAATAAATATTTGAATGATGAGGGCTGGTTCTGAATGTATTTGTTTTTATTTTAAAGTTTAATCTGGTGGATGGGGTGGCCTAGATGGACCAAGAGGTCCCTTGTTATCCTTCAATTATATGTCATATATTTCTCTTATTCACAACTGGTCATCATTTGACATTTGCTGGGAACTCGGGTGTAAGAAGATGACAAAGCAACAATGATTGAAGTACTCAGTGCATACTAGCTAACAAAAAATCCAAAAGGGCAAAGCAATTTGTCTAAGTTAGCAATAGCAAAGCCTATTTAGAGTGAAGTAAAAACATTGTGATACATATAGCTAAATGAAGCAGTCTAAATTTGGCAACTAAAGTAGGGACTGAAAATCATTTTAAAATCTATATCTATCCAACTAGTATCACTTTACTTGTTTGTATACTTTTAATTGTAGCATTTATTTTGTTTTAGATACTTCTTATAGCAGGTTTACAAATAGCCAATGATCCCTAATTTCTGTTAAAATTTTAATTTTGTTTTTCTATCTACTTGTTCAGTTTTTATATGTCCATGGAATGGTCACAACATCTATACACTTTAAGTATAGCTGTAATTTTAACAAGAATTAAACCACAATCACAAATTTATAAGTGTATAAGGGATAAATTTTATAAATTTGAGATTGTGGTTTAAATTCTTGTGTCGTTACATTTTTATTGTAGCAGGATTCCTATTTCATTTAAAAATTCGTAAATGTTTAATACTTTTGTTTGTTTACTTTTTATGTTATACCTGTATAAAGCATATACTTTACCTTTAAAAACTGTCACATGTCTATCCATTGATATGTAGTGCCATCTGTTGGGTTGAATTGGGTTTAAAAAATATTTAAGTATGTGCATATGTTTACCATTTATAAAAAATTCTGTATATATTTATCAGAATATCAATAGCAGATACCCACAGACCAGCCAAGTAAGCTGGAGAAATATTGTAGCAATAGTCCGAGGTAGGTAGGTAGGTAGTAGGCAAAAAAGTTGCTGTTTTAGAAATTATTGAATTCTTATACCGGATATTTTAGCAATTTTTTTAGCATATTATTAGTATATGTGCACATAATATATCATAACCAATACTTTGAATGGGTGGTTTTTCAGCACATTAATTATTTGGAAACCTTGCTGAATCCTACTATTAAGTACTACTGTACTTAATAATGTTCCAGAAGAGTAACAGAGTATTTCAATAATACAATATTCTAGAAAAAGTAGTGACAAGCACTGTAATGACATAGAAAAATAACAATGTATTTCAATAATACAACATGCTGGAGAGTAGTAACACCCACAATATTGACACAGAATAATAACAATTATTCAATAATATAACATGTAGAATGTCTGCTGAGCCATTAATAATGATAGTACATCTTCTACTTACTTCCCAAGTACCTGAACAGCTTGTTGAAGCTGTTGTATTGCCTGATCTCTCTCCTGATTTGCCAGTCTCAGTCTCGAGGTCACTGACTTGTCTCTCTCCTTTTGTGCATAGTAGATACCTGCTAAAAGCTCTACACAAAAGATTTACAAGACTTGGTTTAAATGCCTAAGAAATAAAATTTCATTACTAATAACATTCAGAGCAAATTAATTACATTTCCTAAATAAAATATATTGTTAAACTGTGATACACACACACACACACACATATATATATATATATGTAGAAAATTTCTAATTATTAAGAATGTAATCTTCTCCCAATGAGATGGACTATTAGAGGATTCAATTTGTTGATTATTAGATAACATTCCTTCAACTAAACAATTACTTATACCAAATACAAGTTTACAGTGCGTTAACACAAGTTATTCACATGAACTGTTCAAGTGTCTGAGATCTCAAAGACAGACAGAAAAATTCATGCATGCACACACACTATTGGGTAGACTGAAGAACAAACCCACCGTTATTTTAAAACATCTTAAACTTGTCAACTTCTTCTTTGTAAATATAACAATCTAGGACTTCTTGGGTCAGCATTCCATTCAGATATTAATATATTATTTTTAGTTTCAAAGAATGATGCCTAATGTATTCAGATGGTATGAAAAATAAGCAATTTTTGATTATAAGATACAGTCTTTTGTAGGCATTATATCAAATAATTATTTGAATTTTTTTCTCATTTGTCTTTTTTTTTAAAAATTCATACTATGTTTTCACAGTTGAATATTAAGTAACATTTCTTACGTGTATATCAACCTACCAGCAAACCCAGGACCATGATGATTAACCTGGGGTTGTGGTTCTCCCCTTGTCTTTCTAAGTATCTCAATCTCTGCTTGGGCTTTTTGAAGTTTCTGCCATAACTATAAAAGATGTTAATTTCTGAAACGTACAATGTACTGGGTTCACTTGACATAGACAGTTTCATTACTTTAAACATGTATAACGAAGTGGTGATTTGTAGATTCTATCTTTTTTAAATTTTTAAGAAAGCACTCACTTTTATACAATACAGTTTCTTTGACTTAAAAATTTTTTCAAGGAGTAAATAACTATGAGATGAATAATTTCAAATAAAATAAATTAATAAATATTTAAGGAAATTGGTTACATTTTTTTCCATCTACTTTTAAAAAAATAAAATTTGTTTTCCTTACAATGTTATGAGCTATTCAGAATATTTTTATATTAAATTTATAACTTCTCAGTTCCTTATCTTAAAAATTTCAGATGCACCTATTTTTACTTCAGGTTACTTTTAATAATAATCTGTTTAAAAATGGGTGTGACTAAAATTATTGTACTCAGGCAATGTCTCTCTGTAAACTATGTTTCACAACTTTCAGTCTGAAAGACACTATCATGTTTATATAAACAATAGCTATCAACTACACGAATTGAAACTGATGCTTTTAAACTTGAATATTCTTCACCCAAGCATTCAAGCTACCCTATAAAGGAGAAAGTATGTGAAATTACTGAATTGAATTACTAGTTTAAATTATAATCTTGATGTAAACAATGCATGCTATACAATATTTTAGATTTATAATAACTAGGATTTTTATACTTATTTTCTTAACAAAAACTTAAGCCTTATAAAAAAATTCATAAGAAATACTTAAACATACTTTATCATTTATCTCTTCAAGCATTCTAATTTCTTCCAATAAAATTACTGGATCTTGCTGTACCCATAGTAACTGTCTACCTTTTGTAAGGCCACGATGAGTAACATGGGGAACATTCTGAAGGTGCGAGTCCACAAATGACCTACTTCTTTTGGAGCAGCTTTTTCTGCTTTGTGTTTGATCCCATGGAACTAATGGGTCACTGTTATGTCTTCTGTGAAAAGGTTCTTGAATGCTGTTAACACGAAAATTTTCGTTTTCTTTATTTTTTAATGTTCCACAATTACTGGTTTTAAATGCTTGGCCATTTCTTCTACTAGGATACCAGAGTGGGTCAATCCTATGCTGAAGACTGCTTGGTCCACTAGTACAATAGTTACTTGTCATGGGATATTCTGGGGGTGTACGGTATACAGACATAGGAGAATGGTTTGTAGAAGAAGGTGAAAGATGAAAGGAATCCTTAAATAATGGAGTATTACAACTGTTTCTGTTTTTTTCTAAACTTGGTGAAATGTTAGTTCTGCTACAAATAGTTTCCTGAGAAAGTGTAGCAGGAAGAGAATAGTAAAATTCATCAGTACTCCACCTGCTATCTTTGGTTTTTCTATAATGATCTGAATTTTCAGGCTTAACATTTTCCAACACCGAATCCTTTTGATGGTTGTATTGGTGGGTAAGCTTCCTCAGAATTTCAGATGACTCAGAATCTGAAAGATATACAAAACAGAAAAAATACATACTTTTCCTCTAAGTCAAGGAAGTTTCATTTATACTAAGATCATAAGGCATTATAGCAAGTTTCCTACGCAACTACCATGGTTCATACTGAATTGCTCAGATCAATTTCAAGCACTTTTCAAGACTTTCTAAGCACTTTCAGAATGTTTTTCAAGCACTTTTTTGGAAGCTAAAATCTGCATGAAAATCAATTGGATTCTATTGAAATCTTACAAAATTCCTCTTTATTTGTTCAACATATGAATGTAGACTAAAAAGAAAAGAAAGACTTTGTAGCATGTATTAAAGTTAGATATATTAATATATTCTGCTATTATAATATTTTCAAGTACTTTTGCAAAAAAGGCTCCTTTTCAAGCTCTTTCAAGCACTTGAAATTCCATTCTCAATTTCAAGGACTTTGAAGAATGCATATGCACTCTGAAATACTGAGAGCAGATTGGAAACTAGAATACCAATACCTCTGTTAGCTCACAATATATACCTTTTCCATTTGGGGGGGGGGGGGATACATATATATAAAGCAATTTAACAGCATGCAGCTTATCAAAGGGAAAGGCCATTGAGTGTGACACCCAATGGCAGGGACTCCACAGGGACACACCTGTGGGAACCACATCTTGTCTCAATGAGAGTATACTCTTCATCCACATCTACAGAAGGAAGAGAGACAAATAAGCCCCAAGTGTTGCACGGATTGGTAGAATGAGAACATGACTATTTGAGCATTTGTAGAGAAATGGTCAGCAAGACAACAGGTATAGTATGGTTAGAGTGTGATCAGAATGTGGAGTGTGCTCATCTTGACAGACTCAGGTTGCAGAAGGAGAGCACACTGGCTGTTTGAAGGGTGACCTACACTACACTGACAGTGTTACTACTACTACTCTACTTCTCATCATTCATAATGTTAGAAAAACATGCAGGTTCAAGAAGTCTTGATAGAAATGAGTAAAAACCCTATAACCTGAGCACTTTCAAAAGGTGGACCTTTCTTCATGGGCAAACTTCGCCCCTGAAGAAGAAAGGTCCACCTTTCGAAAGTGCTTGGGTTAAAGGGTTTTTATTCATTTCTACTTATCATCATATTGTGTTGAACTAAATTAGTGAGGAACTTGGAACTCTCCAAGATCCACCATTCTAGCAAGGGTCTTTCATGTTTCATTTGAAGAAGGGAGAGAATTCACACTGAGGAGGCCCAAAGAAGTAACCAGTTCCCCATCAGATGCCTGCCAGAAAGATAATTTACTGTTTTACTGGACACTATACAATGGGTAACCGTGACACCCTATATTTAAAAGCTGTTAAGCGTGAGCCAAAGAAGTGGGCAGTCACTTCCCTGGCACCAGCAGATATTTCCATGATAGTCTTGGGAGACAATACCAGCCATGCAGTGGGATCCTGTTAGACAGAAAAGGAAAGAAAACAAACCCATCTCAAAGATGGGAGATCAATTCAAGAATGGTGATTGAAAAATCCTGTGGGTGACGAAACAGTCAAATGCTGAAGACAATGAGTGACAAACATGTGGGGAGTTGGCCACATACCACCTGGAGGATCTCGTCCAAGGTCCGGCAAAAATGAGAAGCCTTAGAGAATGAGACAGTAGGCTGAGCAGATGTGAACATTAACAACCAGAGAAGAATACAATACATCAACTGGAGGAGCTGACAAATCCATCCAGTAAGGGTAGAAGGCAAGAGGTCCCTGGAATAAGAAGGGCTCTCAGGGTAGAAACAGATGATGTTGGAAAAAAGAGAAGTTAATGCCAAGCAATATAGAACAGCCTGAATTTGAAATAGGAGCCAATTCAGGTTAGAATGAGCATAGTGGTGAGATATAGAAAAAGCGAGACAGAAAGAAAAGAATGGTCAGCTTCCTGAGAGGCCGAAGAAGAAAAAATGGTCCAAGTAGAGAAACAAACAAATAGTGGAATTGTGTGCAAGAAGCATCAATAATATAGGTATCTGAATGACAGAAACCACAGGTGAGAAGGAAAAGGAAGTAAATCATAAGAGAGAGAAAGTGGTAGAAGGAGCAAGAAGCCAGTGGCTTGAATGGGGCATATGTGAGTGTGTGAAACATCACATCAATGTCCCAGTAAGGCATGGGAGTCGCGCAAGAGTCAGTGAAGGGGGAATTATTGTAAAACAGTAAAGGGGATAGGAGAAAAAAATACCCTGTGGCAAATGGAAAGGCAAAATATATCGGATAAGACCACCTGATAACCAGCAATGGTAGAGACCAACAAACAACCAAGTGAAAGAGGTAAAAATGTGGGTCACAGTGGGATGTCTAGGAGGGACAGGGCAATGGATGGACTAATAATGAAAAACCCACAACTTTTGTCGAGAGACAGGCAAAGTGAAAAGACAACAGGAATAGGATATGAAGAAGGCTACATGATTGGACTGTTCGGTCCTAAGGGTAATGGACTGGACAAAATTCCGCACATGGGGATAAAGGAATGATACCCTTGGATGATAAATGGACATGTGAGGTGGGAGAGAGGAGATGTTAGATAGAAGAAGGGGGGTCTGAATGCCAATCAAAGAAGTAGAGGAAACCAGAGCTGAACTGGCCAAAGAAGTGTCAACAATAGGGCCTGAGTAGGTGAGGATAGGCATATGATAAAAGGGGAGACCAGTCCAGGCTGAGAGCATCAACAGTCACAGCCAAAAGATGAGGAAGTTTGAAGATGAGAGAAGAGGCAAAGGCATTCATGAAAAGTGTGTCCAATTGAGGGCAAAACCACTGAAAAACTCAGGGATGGAGAGACAACACCGTGGGCAGAATGTGGTCTGGCTGAAAGAGGTAATCTACCACCAGATCCAAAGCCTTCTAGCATATGATAAGTGACAAGACAGATTTGATGGGAAAGAGCCCAGAAGTGGAGGTCCAATGTCCAAAAGCAAAGATAACAAGGACTAATGTCAGGCTGTTTCAGCCTGGGTTTCCAGTGAAACACAAATACCACCAGAGACTTCTGGGCAAAGAAAGGGAGCCTGACAAAGATCACAGATATATGAAGGAAGGAAGGCATACATTAGTAAAGAGTATATCGTGATCCAACAAGTACCAGCAGCAGAGGAATCAAGTAAGGAGAGACAAAGTGGTACAGGCTAAGAATGTAAAGGTAAAGGAATAAACCCCTCCAATAACTCCCTGGACCATGATGAAGAACCTTAGACAAAAGGTGAAGGGGGGAGAGGGTAAGTAGGAGGGTGATGAGAAAAAGATGAAGATGTAAAAACAGAGAACTAAAGAGCAAAATAGAGGACAAGAGGTCCACTGCCCTGGCAGGCAAGAGAGATTCCAAAGAGTAGGAATCTAGAGAAGGAAAGAAAGAATGTTGGAAGTCAGAACAAAAGAGTCAAGAATGCAAGGGGGATGAAACATGAGGGTACGAGTGCTCAAGAAAGGAATCAGCATGAACCCCGATATTAGGCAAAGGAGGAAAGACTGTTATCTTGAGAATTGGTTTCATGGATTAAAGAACAGGAATAATCAAAAGACACAGGCTAAAAATAAAGAAAGGTACATACTTGAGAAATACTATTCAGAAAGAGAGTGGAAGGTTGAGGATTGTCCCTGACTGGTAAGGTGGTACCCAAAGTAAACTCAGGTGTTGGGGGGGGGGGGTAGTAGGTTAACTTTTTTCTCCTAGTCATACACACACTGAGAAGAAAGACAGTTAGCTGAAGGGACAGGAGGAGGAGGTCCAGTGTGCATGAAAAAACCCATAACACACTGTACAATGGCTTTAACATCTTCAACAGTCAATGAGCCTACAGAAGCCATCATAGAAATAGGTCCTGTATTTGTAATACACTAACATTCTGAGAACAAATTAGATGTCACTGTCAATTGAGAATTCATTTGAAACAGAACGAAAACATAAGTTTCATTGATGATTGCAAATCTCAGTAATGTTGAGGAAAATAATAAAGTTATTTTGAGTGCAAGTGTTTAAGGGGAGTTACTGCATATGAAGGTTGTGTTGCCTTCCTATTGGTGGAGGGCTATTGTTACATGATGATGTTGTCACACACCAGTGCATTTTAAGTGTTAATTAGCTCAAGTGTAGTGGCAAACAAGTTTCATAGGCAGATGCTCAAGGGATATAGCTATTTTATGTGAAGAGGTGAGGTATTGTTTCAGAAACAGCTCACAGTTATGACAGAGGTAAGGTATCATATTCAAAAATTTGTTAGAGCTGAGAAGCTAAAACATATTATGCATCTTTCTTCATTTCACAGTTAAGGAACTGAGACACTACATCAGAAGCTAAAACAGGTAATTGCAATATTAACCTAGATACAGCATCACACCTACAGCAAAATTATCAGTATTTGCTAAGAAAAAGATGAGGACACAGCTTAAGTTCTTATGGGATGAGCTAATTTTACGTGTTTAATTTTTTGTTAAATGCTAAAAAAGTCATTATTTGCAATAATTTATAGGTTAGTGAACTGTATGCTCTAAAATGTAGGTTCAACTTACCAAATAAAAATCCTATGTGCTGTATAGCTATAAAACAAAATACACATGTATATATTTTTCTACTTTGCTTCATATTTCACCAACTTTACTGAATGAAAAAGAACAGTCTGCTCATACCCCTATTCCTCACAACCACATGTTCACCTGACCTAGTGGTTTTTTGGCCAAGAAAATTAACAAAGAATTCAGATTAATGACATCACTTTTCAGGATAAAATAACAGAGGAAATTCAAAATTTTTAAAACCTTTATGACTGTGAGCTTTTACAGTTGTTACATTTCCACCACAAAAAATTAGTAAGTGTTGTCAAAAGAACTAAACCAAATCACTGAAAGATGCAATATTACTTCAACAGTAACAATTATATTTAAATGTATGCGCAAAACCTTTTTGAAAAGTGAATGAATAATTGGCAATGTGAGGAGAAGGACAAGATAAAGACACAAATATTGCATTAAATTAAATATTTAATAATGTTTAGCTGTGTTAATGCAACTTACAGATCTGATAGAGAAGTGACAGTGAAACTATCATGATTATAGTGAACAGATTTATTTAAATTAAAGTTACTGTAGTTCCAAGACATATACTACTTGCGAATACAGATAAAATAACTAGTTATTTTATCTGTACACACAAGTCAGAATTAGTGACCTCATTTTATATAAAAAAAAATCATCATTTCCAATCAATTTCACATCTAAAATTTCTTTATACTGCATACATCTGCTCATGGTCATCAAAGACTATTAAATCCCTGCCTTAATAGAAGAAATTAGTGCATAATAGCCACATTATACAAGTTAAGTAACCCACAGAAGTTCCCAATCAAGGCCATTTAGCCAAAATGTTGAAGAATTAAACCTTTTCCTCTTACATTGTATTTGCATCTTGTATTATGATTTTATTTGTCTATCCTTTGTAAGTGACACCATTTGCTTCCACATTTAATTAACTGTGATTAAATAAACATACATAATGCTTTTATCTATTTATTCATTCATTCATCTATATATTTTAATTTATGGATATTTTTTAATTAAGGTTTCCATCCTTTACAATTGTAACCTACTCTGTTTACAAAAGGTTCTTAGCTTTATTGAAGATAGTCTTTATACACAAGTTTTACTGTAGCTCATGTGCTATGCATCAATATCAGTGCATTTATAAACGTGCAGTACATGAAATCCATTATTGTTTGGAAGCACAGGCTGTCAAATTTAGTATCCTTCAAAACTTAAATGTATGCCAACGAAATAAATCAGAGAAAAAAAAAACCCTCTAAGTAGTACAACTTAAATTTACATATACATAGAACTGGGTGATTAGTGATATTTACTAATTGATTAGCACAGTGTTCCTCAAACCACAATACATGCCAGCAAAAAACAATAACAAAAGATGGTAGAGGATGCTACCAGAAAGTTGTCTTCCTTTTAGTAACAGCTCACAACCACCAAGAACAACAACAACAACAAAAATTGGTGGCAAGTACTGCCAGCCAGTTGCCTTCTCTCTAGTCAGCAGTTACAAACTGTGACAGTGGCAGTTAGCCTTAGTAGTGTTGCCATAAAAATACAGCAAGCAGATTTGGTAGCAATATTTTGATTAATTGGATAGTCTGAATAATCAAAAATAGTAATAATTGGAAACCATTACTTTTATTAGTTGAATTATTACCATGACAATCAATATAAGTTGAATTCTAATTGATCAATTAACTTAAATTTATTTAATCACTACTCGTAAGTAATTAAATTGCCAGTTCGAAACACACGCATATACACACCTTAAAATGGGAAATCTTTTTTTTTTTGGCACTGTAACTGTGAACTAATAATAAAAACTGTCAATAAATTATTACCTATATGAACACCTTCATAATCATGTACAGTATATTTGTAACCACCTTAGAACAACAGCAGGCAATTAGTAGACAGACAACAGAGAACTGTAGCAAGTCAAGCCAAACATCGTTTTATGGATTTTTTTTTCTCAAAGCTATAATGTTTGTAAACAAAGAGATTCCTTTCCTCAGTGGAATATTTTTATTATTTTACTTCATATTAAACAAAATTTTTAAAAAGCCAGTTCGTTTGTTTAATATAAGAAACAGGTTTATGACTTTTCAGATATATCATAACCTTTAATTATTAAGTAAAAAAATTACTGATATATTAAAAACTGAATCTACATGTGCAGCATCTAGAGTATAATTTACCTGAATCTATCAGAGACTTGCCAGAATACTTTCTACGAGGTGGTTTAGGTGGTGGTGGAGACCGAGATTTAGTCTCTACCAAACTCAATGAGGTAGACCTTTGTAAGCTGTGAAAATCATAATTTCTTGAGCACAATAAGCAAAATAATCATAAACAACAAAAGCATAACTTCTCACTATACAACACAGTATTTTATTGACATAGTATCTAAATTCACTAATTGATTTAGTTTCATACAATCCTCAAGGCAAAAAAAAAATTCTACAGTACTCAGTAAAACTAATTTAAATTTCTAATGCTTTAACTATATCATCAGAATATACATAAGCCAAAGAATATTACATATACACTTTTAATTTCTAAGGAAGCTACAGTTATGATCTTATATGCAGGAGATGAAAATAGTGATAAAACTAAAAGATCATTACTTAATATAGACAACACAATCACTCATATTATAGACTGCTTCTTTGGTATTATTTCATATTACACTGATCACTACTCTCATATACACACATATATCTATGATCTATACAGTAATCAGAAATAAAATTTAAAATAATTTAATGTTAATTATACATAGGGGTAAGAGACAATACTTTATTACTTTTTGGATTGAAACAACTTATACCTATAAAGCAAAACATCAAAAACATGTTTGTGTTTAAATACTATACTAAAACCAGTTTATAAGAACTGATTCCTGGTAAAACTAAATAAACTTTAAAAAATAGTAAGATTCAAAAAAATATATATAAACTAAGTATATGAACTGAGTAATCCAAACTTTTTAATACTATATATGAAAGGGAAAATGCAAAATTATCAATCTAACCTGGGAAGAGATAGGCTATCTCTATAGATATTTTCTTCTTTTTCAGATTTCGTACAATGACCAGTAACAGATATGGCCAGTTGCCCATTTTCTAAGCCACGTTCATTTCTACAACATGATTCTCTACAATTACCAACACAGCTGACTTCACTTTCCATTGTGGTTACAGGTATCATCCACCATCCTAGTATGGATAAATATATTTTAGAAAATTATGATTTGGAAAATACAGTGGTTTCTTACTGCAAACAACAAGTTTAAAAATGTATCCTTGTTTTTTATTTTGATTGATAAGAGTTCTGCAGAAATTAGTCTAACAGTTTGACCATAATGTATCTTTCTCATGGTTTTATCAAATATTCTAACTTTACTGCTCAACATAATTGCTGACTTGGTATGAGAATGTATGACATGTTCTCACACGGTGTCAACAGATTACAAGAATAATATGAATTTATTTCATGGGAGATGATTGAACGGAATACAGTGTATTAAATGTTAAATCGACTAGAGAAATATATCATAAAAGTCAGCAAGGACTAACTAAATAGAAATCTTCCCATACTAATTTCTTAACGTTTTAAAAAATATTACATTATCTGTATGATGATAAGGGTGTAATATAACTTAGTGTACTTAGATTGTTCAAAAAGCTTTTGATATCATGTCACACAAAAGATTAGCTAAGCAAATCACACTGATGGAGGTTGAAGAAAGGCTAGTAAACAGAGTTGTATAATGAAATAATGCAAAAATTCTTTATTAATGAAGTCCAGTCAAATCAGACCTTTGTTATTAGTAGAGTGCTTCAGGGGTCTGTGCTTTGGCTTTGCTTTTGTCTTCTTTACGTTAATGATGTTGATATGGGCATAATTAGTAGTTTGTGAATGACATTAAATTCTTGAGTATTTTTAACTATACTGAGGATAATGAGTTACAGAATGAATTGAATCAACTTGTCAGTTGAACAAATATTGGACAATTGACTTTTAATTACAGTAAGTGCAAGATAATGCACTTGGATTATCATACTTTGTATTACACATTTATTATAGATGGGAACTCAATAACATGATTGAAGAAAATAATTTTGGCAGAGTGGTGAATAAACCACTCAAACCATCGAAGCAGTGCTCTGTTGGTAGTAACAAAACTCAGAATTTTAGGATGTATTTATTATGGGAATGATAGTATAAATGGCTCTAATTTGTTTGTGCTATATTCTAATTACAACAGAAGTTAACCTTTTCCAACACTGAAAACTTATTTCCAATAGGTACTTACCTCCTCCCACCCAAAACTGTCTCGACCTTGAGTTGCCCTCTAAGCATTGCTAAAATTTTCAACAGTGTACCATAATATTATACTTCATTTTTGCTCCATTCCAGCAACATGTACTGATCATGTGACTACCCTCCACCAATCATACTGCACCATCTATACTAGCACATCTATATCATTGCAGCAGAATCCTCACTTTTGAGAATTAGCAGTAACAAACCAGAAACACCAGCAAATCAGTGGGGAGGAAGGGTGGGAAGTGGGTGAGAAGAAGTAAAGTACCTATCGGAAATACATTTTCATTGTTAGAAAATGTTAACTTCCAAAACAGTACTACCTCAGCTCACCCAAAGCTAGAATCCTACATTACAAAGGTGAAGGGGCCGGTGAAGGTGCAAAAGTAATCAAACAAGCAGAGAACAACTGTAGTGAAAGAACATGTGTGCCATAATTACAAACGAAGGCACAACTGAAGGGTATAGCACTACTTTTGGAACAGGTATGCTCTTTGCCTAGTAAAGAACAAAGTAAGATACATAGGGGAAACTTAATAGACAGGCACCATGTCATGTAAGACAGATTCCACCCGTGGATAACAGATAGTATGTGAGACGTCCACATATGTAACGAGCATGAACACGTGATACAATGATAGCTGAACAAAAACAAGAGTGAAATTCCTTGCATAAGTTTGTAAGATCAACAAGTGTGGTCCACCCATGTCAAAAGGAACCGCCTTGGGTATATATTATGATATCCAAGTGTTGTCAGCCCAGGCAAAACATATGGGAGAAGCACCTTGGGATACGTCAGATTATGTCAAGTGCAGTCCATCTGGAAAAAAAAAAACATCCAGTGGATATGCCTTGCATAAGCTCGTATGTATCATTTGTTTCTAACTGATATTGTGATCAACTAGTGCAATCAGCTCAGCAAAAACATCCGGGGGAAACACCTTGTGATATTATGGAGTATGTAAAGTGTGGTCCATTCAGGAAGAAAACATCCAGCGGAAGCTCCTTACATGAGATTGATCATTATATATATATCTTGATCATAATATAATTAGAGATCAACAGGTGCTATCCATTCAGCCAAAAAACATCCAGAAGAAGTGCCTTGTGTTTTACTGAGTATAACAAGTGCAGTCTATCTGGGCAGAAAACATCCAGTGGAAGTGCCTTGCATAAAAATTTTTTTTCATGATCAACAAGTGCAGTCTACTTGCTTAAAAAACATTTAGGAGAAGTGCCTTGGTTTGAGTATATTATGATAGCAGAAGCCAGTCATCCATGGACTAGAAAGTCAGAAGACCCAGTGAGTGAAGAGGATGTGCCAAAGAGCAAACCACTCGACAAAACACACATGGAGCTGAAGAAAAACCAAACAGCAGTGCCCAGAACTGGAGGACAGAACCTTCATAGATGAATCAAAGAAAAATGACGTGACACTGGGGAAACAAAAACAACAACACTGAAGTGAGGGGTAGAGTCCATGGTGAAGCGAGATGACTCCAAATAAGTATACACCTGGGACAGAGCTATGATGGGACTCCAATCTCCCTTGTTTTTGGGGACAACACAAAGACTGGATTTGATAGTTCCTTTGTCTCAAACAGACACGGCAAGACATCTGAACAAGGTACAATCCCTAGGAGAAGGGAAGGAGATCTGGGAAGTAGATGGGGGGGGGGGGGCGAAAATGGAAGGCAGAAACCCTCAGATAGAACCTGTATAACCCATGGAATTGTTGTGAAGTGAAGCCAAACAGACAGATAAACTAAATATACTTAGAGAAACGACTCATTACTAATGAAGTAACAAAACTTAGAAATGTGTAGTCTACAAAGTACAGAAAAACAACAAACCTGCAAAACTATGAAATTCAACCTAAAACATAAAACTATAAGTAACACCGAAAATACAAAACCACTAAAGGAACTTAGAAGATAAACGTTCCTTAAATATATAACTTATAAGTCTATTCAGAGAATCTATTATCAAAGGAAATGAAATTAAAACCTACCCTGAAGAATATGAGAATAAAAAGACACACAGTTAACAATAACAAAGTTTGATTCAAACTAATCCCCAATTAGATGTGACTAGTAGTAAAGAAGAAAGAACTCACAAACTAAGTAACATTAACAGAGAAAGGAAGTAAAACTTAAAAAAACAATAAAGGAATAAACAAACTCCCAACAGAAGTTTAAACTAAAGTAACCTCGATGGTAAAAGAAGTATAAAAATCTAACTTACCCAACACTGAGCAGAGAAGATATGAACGACCTAAATTATCGAGTGCAGAAATTAGGTCCATGCTCACTGAACATGGGTATACCTAAAGGGAGTGAGAAACACACTGAAAAATGTATCACAGAACTCCTGGGAAAAGGAACAATATCTAACCCAGCAGACTACATAGACGCAAGGTATCAGGTAGAAAGTACAGTAGAAAGACAATTTCCACGCATTAGTTATATCTCTCTGCACACAAAAAAGAAATGTAACTTGAAAGGAAAAATCATCAGCTGAACATAAGACACAAACTCCCTGTGAATTATAGCCTGTGCTTCCCCAGCAGGGATCATTGACCCTGAGACTAGTATCAGAACCATATTAAATCTCAAGTTCATATGAACAAAGTAGAATTTGGAAAACAGAAACATTTCTAAAACAAATGAGTAAAAACAATGGAAATGAAACACAAAAAAGTTGAAACTTGAAGTTGAAACTGATATAAATTTGTGATAAAGCACAATCAAAATTTTGTAATCACATGAAGAATGAGTTAAAAAACACATCTAGACGCTAGAATGCCAATCGAGAAAGTGAGGATTGTGCTATAATAGTAGAGGGAGCTATCTGCACAAATAGAGATGGTACAATATGATTGGTGGAGGATAGTCACATGATCAGCACATGTTGCTGCAATGACACAAAAATTAAGGGGTATAATAGACAGATGTACTGTTGGAAATTTTAGCAATGTTCAGAGGGAAATCAAGGTCAAGATAGCTTTGGGTGAGTTGAGGTAGTACTGTTTTGGAATGATCACACATGTTTAAGATTTGCAAAAGACAGACTAGATGACTCCAGTTAAAAGAATTATATTTTTCAAACAGGGTGACTGGATTATGGAGTGAGTTGCTGTAGGCAGCAATGGACGCTGAGATTTCACAAAAGTTTAAAAAATAAAGGCTAGGTTTAAGTGTTTACTTTTTCTTAAGAGAGCACGTCCAAAGACACCTTAAAGGTGTAAGTTGTCATTAATGTTCATAAGTTAAAATACTGAATAATATTATTTTACAAGTAATGTACAAGCTGACACTGAGAAAAAGAATACCATACATTCTCATAGTCAGCAATAGAGATGGGTAGTTAGTGGTATTTACTAATTGATTAATCAATGGTCCCATTAACTGATTACATTTGATTAATCTTAATCAATTAGTACAGTGATCCTCAAACCAAGGTATGTACAAAAAGTAAGAAAAAGTTGGTAGCAAAGGCAGTCAGACAGTTGCCTTTCCTCTAGTCAGCAGTTCAAAATTAGTGAGAGTAGCAAGTAGAATTTGGCAACTTAATATATTAATCAATATAACTGATTACTTACGAGAAGCTATTCCATCAATAGTGTCTCATAAACTACGTGTTTGATGACACAGAAATAATCAACTAATCGAAATTAGTGTTTCTGATTACTCAAACAATAAATTAATTAAATCTATGATTAAATTAATTGACATAGAAATAATCAATTAGGGAAATTAGGGTTATTATTATTTACTGACTTTGATTATTTCAACTATCCAAGAAAACAAAATATTCTCATTATGTTTCTTTGTTGTTAAGCACAAAGCTATATAATCATGCCGGGAGAGGGGGAATCACGATTTAGTCTCAGTTTGATTCACATTGCCAATAAGTTTGCTCACCCTGTCTTTGTTATTGCAAAGATACCAAGTTTATCTGCCCATGTCTTTACATTGTATTGTTGCCTAGAGAGAGAGAGAGAGAGAGAGAAGGAAATATGCTGGTAGTACCCACCACCATTTCTCTGGCTACTTAAGTGTTAAATAAAGTGCAAGTTTAATGTTTATTTTTACACTGTTTTATGTTTCTAATTGTGTAACTGTATTTTTTTAATATTGTATAAACAGGCATAGATCAACAGGAAGAGTCAAATTCCCCAACCACGTTTTTCCATAAATTAATAACTACATACTTTAATGTTGTATAAGCAGGTGTGGATATAGTGGAGAGCAATACATGCCTCCCTCCATTTTGTTTCTTAGGAATTAATAACTGTATTATTTAATGCTGTATACGGAAGTGCAGATATATGGGAATGGTCAAAGGGAACCAAACCTCTCCATCAATTTTTTTCAGAAATTTAATAATTGTATTAGGGTTTATTACAGTATTACATATGCATACGGAAGGGGGGGGGGGGTAAGCATAAGCATATTGGCATAAGCAGGTGTGGATCTAGGGGAGGGGGGTCCAAAACCCCCTCTACTCATTTTTTTTTTAGAAATTAATAAACAGGAACAGATAAAGGGGATCCAAAACCTGTCCTTCATATTTTTCCAGAAATTAATAAAACAAAAAACACCCACATGTCCTGACATTACCACCAAGCACAAATTATCAAAAAGAAACATTATATATCACAGTTTTTATTTGATTCAGCTATTAATTACCATAAATTTTTTTTTGAGGTTTTTGAAATCAACACAGCTGGAGTCTACAGCAATAAAGTTAATTAAACATACTCTGGACTTTTCCTGTACTATCAATGTACCCGGACTTTGGAAATTTGTTCTCATCCAAGTTAATATTGTTCAGGACACATCATTGCCATAGGAAGCAATTTTTGAGTAGTCAGGCTATTGTCAGAATTAAACAAGGTGGTATAAGTAGCTCAGAGTTTTTTAACCTTTTTTAAAGTCCATGAAATATTTTAACTTGATAGATTAGCTTAAACTTTTCCCATCACTGGGGATGGATAATTTTGCCTGTGTTAGCATAATGCAGTCATTGAAAAAGTTGTGAAGGTAGTGCAAACCCATTGTTTTTTCACTTGTATGGGAGGGGTTTATTGAGACATGTACAAATCAATTAACAAATGCAACTGACTGTCCAGTTCTACTCATAACTATTATAATTTGTAATATAGTATGTCAACAGCTTTAAGAAGACATGTCATAAATACATACTTAATAGAGTAAAAACTACTACTACCGAGTTATAGTTCTGAGTAATAGTTTAGGCCTACTTGGTAATGTGGTATTACCATGTTTGAAAACAAATAATTTGTCAGTTAGGAATATGGACATGAAAGATTTAATTTAATTTGACTGGTTGTTTAAAATTATAGGGTGACCTCAATATTCACCATACTTATTATCAAATTGTTATAAGCTATATTCATAATGTTGTAAGTTGTTTAATTTAAATGTTGGATAAAGAGCATAACATTACAATTAAGCAAGTCCTAGAAATATCAGAAACAAGCATAGATTATAAGTAAGGTATTTAATGAAGCATCATTAGGTTAGTTAGAAAGTGAGTTCTTTCAAGAGTAGAGTGAGTTAAAGAGTGTTGAATCAGTAATTGTGTTTTCTTTAAGCATTTGGACCTGTGTTGGTTTTACATTAGTTAGTCATTTGTAACATAGGCCTATAACAACTTAGAGCAGTGTAGAAATGATAAAAGGAGGAAATAAACTCATTCTATACAGTTTGCGTGGACTGAATTTTAATTATTTTTACTGGATTATTTAAAAGAACCCATAAACAAAATAACAATGTTACAACAATATTCTTATGCTGTCTGAACAATAAAGACAAGAGGTTTTGATTCAACTGTTATAGTGTTATCAGATTATAATTTTGCTAGTCAAAATATTTTGAAATGTTTTGTTTTGTTTTTTAAATTCATAACCCTTACTCAGCAGTTGAGACTTAAGCTTTGTTTGAATAAATATTACTTTAAAGCAAGGGATGCAAACCTATGATACACCAGGTTACTTCCTCTGGCATACAGTACCATATTTCTGTTTGGGGGTAGGGGTGTAAACTACTTTCATAAGAAGTCCAAAATAATTTTACTGACGAAAAGCTGCTGGTGAGGTGGCATACATTACTAAATCTACAATATATATATACATATTAAATATATTTTTATATAATTTTATGTATATTTTAAATTTTAATACAGAAGACACACTTAAATTCTGGATAAGACCTGTCACTGAAGTAATTAATGACAGTAACTTTAACATTTTAATACAGCACTTAAGACATAGAAATTGACACAACCCAAAAATAAATTTAAGCTAAATTAGATATAAATCACAAGCTCAAACAGAAAGCTCAAGCCTCCTGGAACTTTTGGCAGTCTCCTTGATCAGCATAACAGCATCTTCCCTCCTCCTGAAAGTGATTGAAATCCTTGTGGAAATACAAGGCTGAATATACTGTCCCTTTAAAGCCTTGATATGTGTTACAACACAGTACAGACAAAGTTCAAGGGACATATGCATAAACAATTAGGTAGGTGCTACAAAAGATTGGTTGGCTGGTTGGTGTAAACAAAGTAGTTGAAGTTGGTTGGTCAGTCATCTGTCCATCAAACATACAAGGTTATCACAATAACAATGAGTTTGAAGGTAGGGCATTAACTGCAGTTGTATAATAGTATCTAAAGAGACTATCAAAGCTGAAGCTGAGGGTGAAATGCATAGTTAGAAAAAAGATTTATTGCATTTTTCATTGAATTAGACAAAGACATTCCTATGTATCATAAATGTAAAGAACAGGCTCAGTTTTGCAAGATGCACAGTGTGCAATTATGATTTCTCAATTGCCTATGGTGGAATATATGTTACTACTATTAAAATACATTAGTAAGGGAGTACATTAAGCTAATATAATAATAGGTAGGCAAACAACGATTTATAAGCATAAGGAAAAACTTTATTGATGGAAGAAACAGGTCACAAAATACTTTGGGATGAAATTATTCTCGTACACCAACCCAAAATGAAAAAAATGAGGTGTCTGTTTGGAAACTATAGAAATCATCAGAACAAACGATCTCAAATGGAGTCAAAGTCAAACTAAACTGTGATAATGGCCCTAGCAACATCAGCCATATTTGGCAAGGTCTAATCAGCATTCATACACCTGGCCAGAGTCACCAGACTTGACCTTTACGGTTTACTTAGGGTATATCCTGTTTCCGTGTCATACATAATAAATTAATATTATAATTATACCCATCGTTAGGCCTACACTTCTACTCTAATCAATTGCTGCTTTAATTTTAAACAGTTTCAACGTTAACGTTCGTAATAACACTTACTACTATTACTAATACCAGTATTAGTAGTACTACTAGTAGTAACAGTTAGTAATACTATTTTAAATATTAATAACATTACAAATATTAACAGTAGCTTTTGCAGTTAACTATACTCTACTCTTTAGAGTTTAGTCTTAAGTCTTAGTAATAATAATTACTCTCACCGTTTTTTTCCACTTGCATATGTTTTTTTATTTATTTCAAAGAAACCGCATTTCATCTAATCCACAATGCTCGGTTCATTACTTATCTTCATCTCCCACATGAAGTAATTTTTATACAAAACATTAAAATGAACATCGAAATTCCTACTTTGCTGCCATGATACCATATAATTTTAATAAAGATGGCGCTGAACTATAGTAATAATCTTTAATATTATTAATTAATAATATCTTAACCCGGGGAAAAAAATGTATTTTGCATTGTAATGATGTGTAGGCTATTCATAAACCAAGCCAATCACCAAACCACTCATACAACCATTTTACTGTGTGTTGAAGTCAGCTATTAAGAAAAAGCCCAAATAAACTGCCTTAGAATAAAACAAGCCCGAAAACCGCAAATTGGGACTCTCAAAAAATTAAAGCGATCAATTCTGCTTATTACAATCGAACTTGGCAACATTGCTAGGCTCTAGTTCAGTTTGTTTGTTTGTAGTTGAGCACAAAGCTACACAAATGGCTATCTGTGCTCTGCCCACCACGGGTATCGAAACCCGGTGTCTAGCGTTATAAGTCCGCAGACATACAGATGTGCCACTAGGGGCACTCTCTCTAGTTTAGAGAATATTATTTGTATAACAGAATGATAGACTTATGGAAGGACTTGCCATTGATGGGTAATAGTTGAGACCCATACCTTATAATAGATTAAAAAGGGAGTCTGTTGTTCCTGAAAACAAAGGAGGGATTTTATGTATTTATTTTTTTCTTGGGGTTCAGTGTGTAAGTTATCATTAAAGAAACAAATCCTATATGTTGTGTTATGTTAAATGTCTTAAATAGAGAGAAAAAAAATCAAATTTTTGCCACAGAATTGTGATAAGGGCAAAAATAACATTATCATTGTATCTGTGAACATACAACCGAAGCTATACAGTCTTGGCCAAAATATTTGCATACTTTGTAACAATTAAGGTCATTATTATTAAGATGGAATACAAATACACTTAGCGCTGTCAAATTGAGAAATGCATGTTATATTAAACACCTACATATGTAATTTCTAATTTTGTATAATGAGACAGGTTCTGTGGACATTATAAGCGATTTTTAAAGCAGCAAACAATTTTATCAGACACTTGTAGAAAGATATGTAATTCAGCATTTCACCTATCACAACAAAACCCCATCAAAGCATATTTAATGACAAAATATAACATCAAATTATTATAAATAGTGTCTGTGAACTTATATCAGTTCATGACGTGGCATGATGTCGATAAGGTTATCGATGTAAACCACCGAGATTTCATCCTAACTCGTCACTAGATAGCTCTGCAACTCAGCTACAGTAACTGGTTTAGGGTCGTGGTTGGCAATTTTCCGGCTCAGTTCTGTCTAACAGTTCTCAATCTGGAGACTTTGCTGGCCATGACAATCTTGTAACGTCCTACTGGTCGAGAAAATTCTGTACAATACGCACACTGTTGGCAGTGGCATTGTCATTCTGGAACACAAAGCTATTGACAAACCTTGCCCTAACATATGGCAGAAATCGTCTCCATGTGATGTCTGTAGGAGGTGCCATTGAATTTTCCCTGGAGGATATGAAGAGCAGTTTCCCCATGATGAACAGCTACCCAAACATGTACTGCACCACCTCCTGTGTGTTCGCTGTGGGAAAGACAGTCTTCCCTTATGTGTTCTCTAGGTAAACAATGAATAAGAATCCTAATATCAGCTTTAACAAGCCGGAAACAGGATTCATCTGACAATATAACATATCGCCAGTGTCCTAATTGTAAGTTGGCATGCTATCTTGACCAAGTAACACAGTGATGGTGGTGAATTCTGGATAATATCGGTTTGCAGGTAGACCTTCTTGTAAAATAACCTTGTTTGGTCAGTCTCCTATTTAACTGTTTTTCTGGATGCCCTGGAATGAATGTGTTCATGCCATTCCTGTCATAAGGTGTTGAAAGACTTCTTTCGACTTTGACGTGTTAACCTGATCAAAACACGGTCATCTCGGGCAGCAGCTTTTCTGTGCCTACCAGTAGACTTTCATGGAACAATGTTTTCTGTAGTCCAATGGCATTTCAAGGTTCTGGATACAGTACACTGGGGGTATCCTACTGTTTTGGCAACGTCCGTTGGCTTCATACCATTTCTGGACAGTCGAACAATTTGACGTCTATAACTTCTGACTTTATATCAAGCACAAAGAAACTGTCTGAACAAAGCGTTGAACTGTTTCGAAAAAGATTATAGCAAAAGTACACCCGTTTATATAAAACATGTGTGCATATGTTTTTTGACGAACAAATGCTCAAAACAACGTATACAGACTAGAATAACAACTCGTACATGTTTGTCCGATCATATGTTACCTTTTACTCAATAACTATTCCATGCATGTAGACAATAACATCAATATAGAACAGTATGCGAACATTTTGGCCAAGACTGTATACATAGAATTATTTTATATTGTGTGATTGTTTGCAGGAGTTTTTGTAAACTTAGCTGAAAGTGAGGAAATTAATTTATTGTTTCCTCGCTACTTCTTTGAGCGTAGTTTTCTGATATCGATTCTCTAGGCTATGGGAGCATATATTTAACACAGGATATCTCCATCAACAGGAGGCGAAGTAGTGTTTTTAGGTGGCAGGACAAGGAAAAAGTGGCGGTGGGTGGTGATGACTAGCTGCCTTCCCTCTAGTCTTACACTGCTAAATTAGGGACAGCTAGCGCAGATAGCCCTCGTGTAGCTTTGCGCGAAATTCAAAACAAACAAACAAACAAGGAAAAAGAAATTTTGGTAATTTCTTCATGTAGGTAATGCATTGGAAAGTATGGAACTTGCTGTATCCAAATATGCAATCTAAGTGATGGTAACATATTTCAGTCGGAGTTATGAGCACTCAGAGAGACATAAGGTTCCGGAATGGCTGCACCAACTTACTAGTAATGGTTACACACATGAACTGAATGTCTCAAATTATGCAACCATTTTGCATTGTCTGTTTGATTATGGAAAATTTGTTCTTCATCTTCTGATCTGGTGGAAAGCTACTACTGCTATCATCATTGTCTTTGTCAGCAAAAAAAAACAAAAAAATCATTTTTGAATGCTTTCACAGCTTCTTTGGGCTTGATACTTGTACTTGATACTGTCAAAAAGTTTGTTGTGATCACATTTATAGCTGCTGCACAGATTTCCAGTCGAACATCTCTGAACTTTGCACCTGCCGGCAATTGATGGTAACATGCTAAAGAGTTGCAAAGTTCTAGTCAAAGTCAAAAGGACTTGGAACTGTTCTGAAAAACAGTTAAAACGACGAGCGAAGTAGAAAAAGGCTCATGTAGTGCATTCTGTTATCACAGCCCCCCCCACCCCCAGTGGCACAGTGGTATGCATGCGGACTTACACTGCTATAAACCGACACTCGATAACCCTGGTGGGCAGAGCACAGATAGCCTTTTGTGTAGCTTTGTTCTTAATAACAAACAACAACCGTTACCGCAAAAATTAAAATCACGCTCCGCAATTTCGGACCATGATGCGTTATAAGGGCGGCAATTAAATTCCACCATTTGGTCAGATAAGAGTAGTTCAAGGATTGGCGGGGATGCTGTTGATTAGCATACTTTCCGTCTAGTATGATTTCAAATTTAGGGACGAATAGCGTAAATATCTCCTAAGTAGCTTTACGCGAATACACGAAAAAACAACAAACAAGTATAGTTTCACACTGGATTTATTTGATCTTTCACATTTAACACTTTTTCTTTTATTTGAGCGAGCAATGATAATCGCAGTGTTCTCACCTAACTTGTGAAACTAAAAGCCAAGTTGATTAAAAGTATATATTATTTCTTTTTCTTTCAAAAGTTGATAACTTGAATTATGTATAAATATGCAATTACTTATATCCTCCATACCAGAGATTTTCAAACTGTGGTACGCGTACCACTGGTGGTATGTGGAGCAAATGTCGGTGGTACACCACACAATTAATATAAAGAATAATAAAATTTGTAATTAGCCCTGTCTGAGCTTACCACGTTCATATCTATATATACTACTCTCCTCCTTATAGACTCACCCTCTACCAGCATAGTGTCGTCAGTATTTTCTTCTTTTAAAATTGACAAAAATGGTACCACGTATTCTTCAATCGTGCCAGAAAAAACAAAAACAAAAACAATCGTATCCTTCGCATTAATAGGTAAGTGTTAAAAATATGAATTTTTGTTACTGGTTTTTCTATCTTTTTGTTAATTAGACCTGGGTTTATAATTAAAAAAAACTAAAAGTGGTACGCGAGCCTAAAACGTTTGACAACCACTGCTCTATACTAAAATTGTTGATAAGTTCAGCTACGTTGTTTTGATAAATGTCTAGCTTTTCAAATTCAGGATATTTCGTTTGAGAACATAAATCTCGGAACTAACAAAAAATAGTTATATGAACGCGGATTTTAATAGATATAGATGGCAGCACCACACCTATATTATGTTTAAAGTTGATTGCCTGATTTATTGTTAAGCCCAATCCTACACAGTGGTCTATTTATACTCTGCCCATTTAAAGTTGTAAGCATGCACACTTGCCGCTGAGTGACTGGGAGGGGGGGTATTTAAAGTTATATCCTACTTGTAAAATTAGAAGTAATGAAGTTTATACGTAGTTTAGTGTTTAGAGTGCAGGGACTGTGAACCCGACATGTTGGAGTTTCAGCTTTATGATTTAAGTTATATCCTACTTACATGCCACCCAGTGGCACAGCGGTATGTCTACAGACTTACAACGTTAGAATCCAGGTTTCGATACCCGTGGTGGGCAGAGCACAGATAGCCCATTGTGTAACTTTGCGCTTAATTACAAACAAACAAAACAACCCTACTTACATAACAAGAAGTAATGAGGTTTAGGCGTAGTTTAGTGTTTAAAGTGCAGGGGCTGTGAACCCGACATGTTGCTGGTTCTACTTTATGATTTAAATTATGTCCTACTTACATAACAAAAAGTAATGAGGCTTAGGCGTAGCTTAGTGTTTAAAGTGCAGGGATACCTTTATTGGATATCACAAACGCTGTCTGGCAAGCTTTTCCTAATTTTGAAGTGTGATAGCCTAGAAAAAGGCAGATAGTAAACACCACTCTCCCTGGGTTTTTCTTTACCAAATAATATTTGGCTTAATCGTCACATTATAACGCCTCCATGGCTTAAAGGGTGAGCATGCTCAATGTCGGGTTTCGATCCCACGACCCGTAGATTACGAGTCGAGTGCCCTAACCACCAGAATATGCCAGGCCGCACAAGAGTTAATTGCGAATAGCTGTTCCTATATTTAAAGTGATAGATTCTAGGAAAAACAGCTAGTCAGTGTCATCAACCGCCATCTCTTGTATGATCGATTCATAATTTGACCGTCACTTTTATCACAACCTCAAAACGCGGCGCATATTTTGTGACATTGTATCGCAAAACATGAGCCTTCGGAGTGACAGTTCAGGCACGTTAACCAGTAGGCCACGTCTGTCGCGTCATAAATTGTGTTCACATACTTACTTACACACACGTGTATATTATATGCATATATGAAGCGAAGTTGTCATGTTGGTTTCTTCACGTCACAAGTTCCTGTGACGAACTACTTGAACGAGTAGGCATACGGACAAACGTTTCGAGTTTGCCACCCATTTCAATAAGTATTATGTGAAAGTGTGTTAGTTCAACTGAAGTTAACATATATCAATAAATACACGTACTTCACAAAAATAAAATAAAAAATAATGGGGTAAACATTTAATGCGGTCTGGATAAATTCACCGAAAAGCAGTTCAAAAAATCGTACGCGCGTGTCTCGTGTCCTTTTGTGAGAATGAACATCTTCTTACATGGGCTACCCCTGACTGGATAGCTCCCCCCTTTATTTTCAACCGCTAGAACTGCCAGCAACACCACCGGGTGTTCATTTTCTTCAGAAACGAGTGAAGAGTTCTTGTCTTTGTCAACGATGGACAGTGAAATATTGTTGAGGAATCTGATTCAATAAATACATTCACTGACTAAATGATGCTCCTCTAATTTCCTCTGTGGGGCTCATTTGACTGAAGGTCAAAAGTAGGAAATATTGCCCTTTTTGAGTAGTTTAATATACGAAAAAGTGTCTTTTCTGAAATCAGAAATCAGGTTAACTGTTTTGAGATACTTGATTTTTTTTAAATATAAAACTATTTAAAAGGACAAGTGGATGCAACAGAAATACATAATTCAACCACTTTTTGGACGGTTTGGGTTTATAGTCAAGCGAAAGGCTACCCAATTGGCCATCTGTGCTGTGTCCACTATGCATATCCAAACCCGTTTTTTTTTGTCGTTATAAGTCTTCAGACAGAAAGCATCTTTGATACATAAAACTTTAACTTAAATTTTGGAAACACTGCGCATTTCATTTCTTTTTACTGTCTACTATTACGTGTTTCTAATTTAGTGCTTTTGTGATTTAAAATACCTGTATTTTTATATTATCTATCTGTCTCTGTTCTTTGTTATATTATTCTTTAGGAACATTTTGAGAAATTGAATTTTGATAGTTACCAGCTATATCAGATGTTCATGTCATAAACGAACCCATATTTCATATGTAGATAAATCATACCTAGTTGATGTGTACTGTGTTTGGGTTATCTTTTGCTTACCACAAGTAACCTGTATTTGTATAGACGTTTGAAGAATAAGTAACATTAATGCTACTAATTCATTTCCTAAACTCTTCAGCGATAAACTGTTCAAGGTGATGTATTTTTTTTTCTCATCACGTGAAATATGAATTGTTTTGAGCGAAAGATAACTCAAACACCAACTATGTGAGCTATAGTTCATCAATATAAAGGCCCAACTTCGTTCTTTGATTTGATGAGGATTTCTGAAACCGATATAATATATAAAAGGTAAGCGAACCCAAGAATATATCTCAGAATTTTGCTGATAAGAGGAAATAATTATATTACCTAGCCCAGCTAACATAACACATGACAGGGTAGTTTTGAAAATCTATTCTTATATAAATTACTGACTTTGTTTGTTGAATTTTGTGCAAAGCTACAAGAAAGCTATATGACACACGAGAGGGAAGGCAGTTAGTCAACAATACCTACCGTAAACTATTGCGCTAATCCAGTGATTTTCAAACTTTACGAAGCCACGGAACCCCTTATTTCATTCTTTTGGTCACAGAACCCCAACCCTTAAAGCTCGTTAGAAATCGTGTATTTTTCCTCTCTTATCATACGTACATTTATATACGTACAAATATTTCTAATTTTGTTCGCTTGTGTATGTAAATGTGTAGAGAAGACTGAATATCAACTGACTTATGATTTTTAAAAATACATTTGGTCTCTGGCGAGTTAAGATTCAATAACTGAAAGAAACTGCCATTACCTGTTATCTTCGTTGGAATCCGTGATGACCTTTCGTGGAACATTAATCTAATATAAGTAAACAGATGGATTTGTCACATAATGTACCTACGAATCCCATGTGCAGAGGGCGTTTCTTTCTCTTTTGTTTTCGGTAACACTAACCATTGGACAATGAACTGGCTATTTTGTGTTCTTTTTTAATTCAAGATTGTAGGCTATTCTTATATAGAGGTTGAGGAAATTATATTAAAACAATTTTGGAGCCTTGCCACGTCATTAAAGTCCATGCTGCTACGTTCGGTCATGCTCTATCTGACGGCTGTGCATCTTGACAATAGTCTTGCAGCGTAATTTCCATTGCAAAAAGTTTCGTTGTAAGGTTTGTCATGTCAAAAGCACACCATATTCCATCTAATTTACGAGGACGACAGTTTCTTAGCGTCCGTTTCAACAGTCCGATCACACAAAAATCCATAGGTGGCGACTTGACCAGTATGTTTTCGCGTAGAATAGTATGAGTACTTGTTTCGTTCTCCGGCTGCTTGAGGTATGCAACAGTATGTTGAATAAAAGCAACTTTTATAAACGTGACTTATGTCGCTTTTTTTTTCTCTTAATTATGTCGCATGCTGTTGCTTGAGACATGTGGAACGCTTTTGCTACTGACTTTTGAGTTAATATATTGTCATCTGTTACAAGACGCTGTACTCTGCTTACTGTGGCTTTGGTATGACTTGTTCCAGGTCTCTTTCTGGATGGCTCTTCTGCTCCAAGTTGATCCACGTTTCTTTGCTTTCCGTGCCATTAAGTACAAGAAATATCCCCTTCTTGGAAAATCTAAAGTTTTTATCTGAACACGACTTTATGATCTGAATGTTATTTACCCTACCCAAAAGCAATCCATTTCCAATGGCATCACATTACTCACCAATCGCCAAGCAATGTCCAAATGTAGCTCTGATGCATGCCGTTCCAATACAACTTTATATCGATTGTAGTTGTCACATGACTCATTGATTTATATATTCAAAATGTTTTAATATGAGGTACCCCGTACATGTTATTTTAAAACTTGGATGCCCATATATATATCACAAAAGACTGTGCTTTCATTTATTAAATATTTTAATACAAATGAGTTTGATATTACAGATGTAGTCGAACGTTAACGTAAAATATTATTGACTTACAGAATATTTCACACTTAACAGTATTAATTTCTCAAGCGAATTCTGAAACATTTTTCTTTGCTGTACTAGTAGAATAAATATAATATGAAAAATGTGTAGATGTATTTCTTAAACTTTTAAGTTTTTCAATATTAAGGTTTTCTTCTTATAATCAGTATATATTTACCAGCATTTTAAACATAAACACCATAATAATCGTGATAAAATATAAATAAAGTTGATTTTATTTAGTCAACATATTGCAATGAGTGAAATGAACAATGTGTTTAATTATAAGTTATGCGCATAACATCATATATTTATTCATATACATATAGCAATCTTTTTATATTCTTAGAAGTTGTAAAATAGTTAATCTAAGTTTCAAACACATTTAATAATAGAATAATTAATTTTAAAACAGCCCACTGGCAATATCGCAGTTAAAAGTTAAGCGATAATGCCTTAATTCCAGGTGCATATACACGAGATGTTAGTAATGATATACTTTTTAAACCACACTGTCAGCTGAAATTAAACGTTATACACAATAATAATGCTTAATATGTATGTTTTCATCCATAGAGGTTTTCAATCAAGAAAGGAAGCAAGAACTAAATTAAAGACTCAGCACTAACTTGGATCTGCTGGTTTCGCATAACTGATTGTAAGAACCTTTCTAAGAGTAATGAAAAATGCCAGTTATGTATTACAAGTTACACTTGTAAAAGGACACAAATTTCAAAGTCTTATTAGCTTTCTTCATCATAGGTACGACACTGTACTAATATTTTGTAATGCTGCATTGGTGTGCTCCTGATGGAGATCGAAATCTCCCGAAATGTTGTGCCTTTTCAAAACTTTTTTTGTTTGTTTGTCTTTAATTAAGCACAAAGCTACACAATGGGCTATCTGTGCTCTGCCCACCACGGGTACGAAACCCGGATTCTAGAGTTGTAAGTCCGCAGACATACCACTGTGCTACTTGGGGGTCGTTGTTTTTTTTTTTTTTATTTTTTTTTTTTTTAGTTAGGGTGCTCTTTCAATTATTTCATGTCTTAACTAAACTACTCTTGGATTTTAATAATGCAACCATTTATTACAGTGAAGTCACTACTATCCTGAGGTATAACCTCGTATAGAATCTCAAAGAATGTAGTCATATATCAAACTAAGGAAATGGTATGTACTTGGGGGGTTTCTATGGAACTTAGCACTGCATCGATGAGTTTAAAATTAGGTGTTTGAATAATAGTTTTAAACCAATATTTGCCTGACATCATGGAATACCAAGTGTCAAATATTGGCCAAAAAGAGAAAAAAAAAATGCAACACTACTCATGCTTTGTGCATATTGTCAAAAACATATGTTGAAGAAATATTCACAGCTTAAAAAAATTAAAAACGGCGACCAATAAGTACTGACAACCATTATATATACAACCAGTTTTGAGACTGATGACATGGCTTTAATGTATATTTTTTAACACAAACATATGTGCTGCTTAGAATTTAAAATCAATCCAGTTTGAAAACTCATTGTTAATGTATATGAGGAGAAACATAAAGTACACGTGTTTCTTACTTGGTGGTATAAACAAATTTTAAATGAATCCTCTATTGCACGCATTATGAAAATACGGTGTTAAAAAGCTTTCCTTTGAATTTCATATTTAAATAAGTCTATACTGCACAAAAAATGCTTTTGTGAAATATATTTTGGTAATTTATAAATGGGTACGTTATCTAGAAGTAACATTGTTCAACTGAGGAACCACGAAAATAATTTCATGGTTTATTTAGACTGTTACCTGGACGTAAGAGCATTCATTTACAGAATTAAAACATTTGTATGTGTATTAAGCAAACAAAGATAAACTTGTTACCTATACGTTACAATGTGCAATAGAGGGCTAAGATTAACAGGTTAAGTTCTGTTTTGCCAAATGGACCGGAAAGGTCTACATACGTAAAAACATGAAATAAATATTTAAAAACAAAATGTTACGATAACAAGGAATTTTAATTTATGATGTACAAAGTATTAGTTCTCGCGAGTCAACTTGATATGTAGCATACATAACGTCATTTATAAACTTTCATCAAATAAAGAATAATAATGCTTCTTTTGTTTTGTAATTTTAGCGCGATGTCCTAGTTAATTCGATTTAGAGAAAAAAATATAATAAAACTAACGATTACTTTTATTTAATAATAAGCTTAATAGTCTTAGAAAAATAATTCTTTTTGCCCAATGTAATTTTTCATCTAAAAATATTTAGTCGTCAAAACAAACCATTACAATTACAACATTATCGTTAGGATATCTATTCTTGACTAAGGACTTCAAATAGAAACTCAATTTAAAGTTTTGAATAAATAGTTCTTGAATGACAATAAAATCGGTTGTTATTCATCAAATAACTTATAATAGATTTTTTTCGTTTTTTTCTCTTCCATACTTCTGGCTGTTTCAAAAAGAAGTTCAAAATACGTTATGGAAAGTTATATTTGTCAAGCAGCCACTTGTTTGCAGACGAACATTGGCTAGTTGCTGACTATCGGAAGATTAGTGCCCTACCTTAAAATTACAAGTAAAGGTTCCATCAAATTTTCAGCCCAGCTAATACAGTTGTCTATCCTTCATACGCTCGACCTTTCCTTCTATAATGTTAGCAAGCAGACTGTGGGGATACTACACACAAGACAAACTTACATAGCTTTGCTTGTGTTCAATGTCAGTCGTTTTCTCCGAGTCTGTAGCTGATTAAAATGTTTCGACAATAAGAACGGACATTTTTAATGTCATGGCAGCAGTAATCAAAAGCTTTGATATCTTTGAAATAGACTCCGCATCTCTCACAAAGATCCCGGATAGACGTTCCCAACACGCAATCTGCTGAAAGTTGTCTAATACTTGATTGAGAAGTCGAAATAGAGTTCGCATTCTGGTTCGATTCTTGTTCCGACACTTCCCTGCTGATCCTGACTGGTGGCGCTACCATTTGATGATTGGCTAAAACTACCAACGTACACACCACGATTCCAACAAAGCGTGGTAACGTAACGTCAAACATTGTAGCTTTTGCTGAAATTGAATTCTGGAAGGAGAAAATACACATTTGTATGAATTTCAAGGTTTAATTCATAGTATTACTTAGTTTTACAATAGATTAGTTTAACAGTTTGCACAACCGCAAAAGTTATAAAGACTGTTGCGCGAAATTTTAAGTTTGTTTTGTTTCCCATATTCGCGCAAACCTACACAAGGGCTGTGTGCGCTAATCACCAGCACCCACAGTTAACTCTTATTAAAACGTTTGACCCTCTCTTTTTTAAGCCAGTGTTTTTAACTCTTTATTAATGTTTAAATATATAGATTAAAAGTCTTTAGGAGATTAACTTTACAAAGTGGCTAAAATATTGCGAATATCGAAACAGAATAAAAATTAAAGGAAACAATTTCTTCTAGAATGACTTGTTAAAGTCCAGAAAATAAACGAATAACAAGTAGTTAAGAATATACATTTCAAAATCATTTATCTGATTGCGATAATACAGGACTTTGTAATAACAAGTAACTGGTCCTCCAGTGGCACAGTGATATATCTGTGCACTTGCAATAATACAAACCAGGTTTCGATACCCGTGGGGGTGGGGGAGGTACGGAGTACAGATAGCCCATTGTATAGCTTTGTGCTTAATTAAAAATAAACTGCTAAAGTACATTTAAGAGTGAGATAAGTAAAACACAACATTCAACTTTTTCGGTCTTATCTAATTTAAATAGACTTTTAATAAAGCATTTATACACTTGGAAAGACAAAACCGAAACAGAAAAACAAATTTCGAAACCATTTTAACTACTAGCTTTATTTTGAGTTTACTTACTGATTATGAATATTATTCTATTATAAATTATATCTTTTGCAGTAAGAAAGAATATTTTTAAAACAAGTACGCCGTTTCGATCATTCTCAAGTACACAAGTTTTAAGTCCATAGAAGGTTTGTTTGTAATTAAGCACAAAGCTACACAATGGGCTATCTGTGCTCTGTCCACCACAGGTATCGAAATCCGGATTCTAGCGTTGTAAGTCCGCAGACATACCGCTGCGCCACTGGGGGGCATGTAAGTAGGATGCAAGTAAGAAGGTTTTGGATTTAAATATGGAGTCGTTTAAGCAACTATCTCAGTGTTGTAACTTCGTACGTATTTAGTTATACGTTAAAACCGAATTAACAATTGAAACTAAGAAATCATTAACAGAGTAAATCAAAATAGCATGCTCTTTAAAATCGGTAATTAAAACCAAAAGTTAAATACTCTCAAGACCAATATTTACTGATCCGTGAGGAGCACTCCACGAATACGTCACTTTCACCAGCAGATTATTTATATCGCCCCCAGGTGGGTAATTCTGAGGGCTTATAATACTAAAAATCTAGTTTCGATACCCATATTGGGCAGAGCACAAATCACCCATTGGTATATTTGTGCTTAACAATAAACAAACTAAATTATTTATATAAATGGGTTTAACTTTCGGAATAGATAATATTTTGACGTTTCCTTTTTTTTAGTCTTGGTGAAAATGAGAGCAAGGGAATACTTAAGAATTTCTGTCCGTTAGCTCCTATCTCACGGGTCCCGGACCGGGCGTGGCTAAGTGGTTAATGTGCTGGACTGTGAATTCGAGAGTCCATGGTCAGCGTCCGGTTGCAGTAAAATCGCTCTCCGCACTTTGGGGCCGTGGGTGCATTATAAGATTACGGTCAAACCCTACTATTCGATTAGACTAGCCCAGGAGGTGGCGGTGGGTGCTTTTGACTGGCTGTTTTTCCTCTAGCCCAACGGTTCAAAATTAGGGTGAGCAAGCGCTGATAACTCTTGCATCTTTGTGCGGATATCCGAAAAAAACACAGAATGAATTTTTCGGGGACCCTGATACAAAAGCACCACTTATCCCACCCACTCACTCCTGGTAACGTTCCTGCTCAACACCACTTGGGCAATTTACTTAAAATTGAAAAAATAAAAACGAACTTACTCATTGTTGAAGTTATGGTGATGTAAAAGTGTCACTTTATATTAAAACTTATAAACTGATTTAATACACCCATAAACTTATTATTAGTTTTAAGAATAAGATATTTTGAAAATAACTGAAAAAAAATAATTAAAATTTTATTCGAATTATTTTATTTTCCTTTCTATTCTGGTTTGAAATAAATAATGTTTTACAGAATTTCACTTAAGGATCTACTAAATAAATAGGATATTTAAATAAAATCTCTCATGGAGACTGATTTAGTGACATATATATATATATGTATACCCGACTACTTTTATCAAGTGATTTGGGATCATATACCCGACTACTTTTATCAAGTGATTTGGGATCATATACCCGACTACTTTTATCAAGTGATTTGGGATCATATACCCGACTACTTTTATCAAGTGATTTGGGATACATACTACCGACTTACTTTATACAAGTGTATTTGGGATCATACTACCCGACTACTTTATACAAGTGTATTAGGTCATACTACCGACTTACTTTATACAA